GCAATAAGCTAAGTCGTTTCATTCATAAAAGCAAACGCCTTACACATCTCCCCGAGCATGCGTTTGCCTACAAACGTATTTTCACGACGATGGCAAAAGCTAAACATCATAAATTGAACGAATTTCTTTATTCCCTCTAGAAGGGAAAGATGACAACCCTGCAAGCCCACAAAACATAGAAAAAAGTAACAAAAGTGGCAACAAAGCTTTGTCGATTTAAAATATTTTACAATTCTAAAATATTTTTACGTGACTCGCAAAAATCTGCGTCAATATGTATGCAAGTTCATATTTAAACATATGCACATATTTAAATGATTTGATTTGCAATGATTTGTAGGCAAAGCTGTTAGAGCGGCAAGGGAAGCGAGCGTTCGTTTATTTTGTCGCACATCGCGGAATTTCTACCAACAACACAACAACACAATGTGGTGATGCTTTGTCGTCGCGTCAGTCCTTTGACAGTTTGACTCTTTGAGATGAAAGCAAAAATGTGAGCTACGTTCATTGGTTGACCGTGTACATATCTACATATGTACATATGTATGTGGTTTTTAGACCAATTTACAAATATTTTTCTTTCATATTTCTTTGTATGTACACATGATATGAAAATCTCGACGGCAAAACACAATTCTGTACTTTTGTGACTCCATAATGGTGTCAAGTACATGAATCAAAAAACGAACTTTTGTAAAATTTCAGTCGGGGATCTCACCTCACAAGCAGGAGAACAATTAACATTTCTCGCTTTTATAACAGCGGTGAATTTGTACACATACAGCTCCCTAAACGTGCCCAAGGGCGAGTCTTGAAGAGAATATAATAAATATGTATGCCAAACAGGGAATATTGATATGCCATTTGAAATATTTCCCTTTTATTGAACTATTATTTATTATTATACTCTCGCAACCTGTTGCTACAGAGTATAATAGTTTTGTTCACCTAACGGTTGTTTGTATCATCTAAAACTAATCGAGTTAGATATAGGGTTATATATATATAAATGATCAGGATGAAGAGACGAGTTGAAATCCGGGTGACGGTCTGTCCGTCTGTCCGTCCGTCCGTGCAAGCTGTAACTTGAGTAAAAATTGAGATATCTTTATGAAACTTGGTAGACATGTTTCTTGGTACCGTGAGACGGTTGGTATTGCAGATGGGCAAAATCGGACCACTGCCACGCCCACAAAACGCCATTAATCAAAAACAAATAACTTGCCATAACTAAGCTCCGCAACAAGATACAAGACTGTTATTTGGTACACAGGATCACATTTGGGAGGGGCATCTGCAGTTAAAACTTTTTTTAAAAAGTGGGCGTGGTCCCGCCTCTAATAGGTTTAATGTGCATATCTCCTAAACCGCTAATGCTATAATAACAAAATTCACTGGAAGCAAATGTTTTTAGCACTTCTATTGACTTTGTGAAAATAGTTGAAATCGGGTGTCAACTCCGCCCACTCCCCATATAACGGTACTGTTAAAAACTACTAAAAGCGCGATAAATCAAGCACTAAACACGCCAGAGACATTAAATTTTATCTCTGAGATGGTATAAGATGACTTTATAGGAACCGCGTTCAAAATTAGACAGTGGACGTGGCACAGCCCACTTTTAGGTGAAAACTCATATCTTGAGATCTGCTTAACCGATTTCAACAAAATTCGGTACGTAACGTTATTTTCATATTTCTATGTTATAGTGCGAAAATGGAGGAAATCGGACTACAACCACGCCTATTTCCAATATAACACCATTTTCAATTCCATCTGATTTTTTCACTTTCCACTATGCATATCAAGCAACAATGATTATATCGGGGTAAAACTTTGCGTGAATAATACGTTTAAAGTATGCCACCTTGTGACCAAAAATTGTCTAAATCGAACCAAAACTGCTCAAGCCCCTAAGTCCTAAATATGTGGACGACAAAGCGTCACAACATTGGTAGAAATTCCGAGACGTGCCGAAAAAATAAACGACCGCTGGCCGATTGTTATCGCTTCCCTTGCCGCTCTAACAGCTTTGTCACTGTAAATATGTATGTTTATATATGAACATGTATATTGACGCAGATTTTTGCGCGTCGCGGAAAAATATTTTAGAATTTTAAATCGACAAAAGCTTTGTTGCCACTTTTGTCCCTTTTTTCTGTGTTTTGTGGGTTTGCAGGGTAGTCACTTTTCCCTTCTAGAGGGAACATCAGAAAGTTGTTCAGTTTATAATTTCTATCTTTGCCGTTGTCGCGAAAAGACGCCTGTAGGCAAACGCATGCTCGGAGAGGTGTGATGGTGTCTGCTTTTATGAATGCAGCGACTTAGCTTATTGCATTTGCGCCAGCGTTCATGAATGAATATGTTGTTGTTGTGTTGTTTGGATTATTTGCATTACTTATTTTGCAAGGTCATACGCATATTGGCACATATGTGTATACTTACATACAGAGCAGTGCGCGCATATGTATTTATTGATAAGTGATAATATCAAAAATTCTATTCCTCGATGTGTATATACCAGGGAATGGAAAGGAATTTCATATTGATGTATATAAATAAATTATTAATTTTGTAACAATTTAAATTAGAAAATTATTAAATAAGTAAAATATACTTTTTTTGCATAATCTTTCGGATTTTATCATGCCCCATTTATGCAAAAAAATCATATTTTATCAATTTTTCATCATAAAAATCGTTTATATCATGTATATGTGAAGTGGCATTTGAAGTTTTTGTTCAAAGTATTTCATTTTTCTCTTTATATTGGTAGAAACGTATTTCTGCAAGAGAACGTTGTTATAAAGTCTCATTTATGTTAAATAACAGCGAATACTATAGAAAATGGTGAACTACCTGATCGAATTTTTAAGCTCTGTTAGCCGTCCAATCGAGCATCATATAAAATTAAATTTGCACCTTCTCGTACAGTTGTCTCAAATAGCAAGAGCAGTGTCAGAAATCAATATGTCAGCCAAATTGACAAACCCTAAATATGTAGTAAATCACATTTTCATAAAAGCAAACGCCTTACACATCTCCCCGAAAATGCGTTTGCCTACAAGCGTCTTTTCACGACGATGGCAAAAGCTAAACATCATAAATTGAACGAATTTCTTTATTTCCTCTAGAAGGGAAAGATGACAACCCTGCAAGCCCACAAAACACAGAAAAAAGTAACAAAAGTGGCAACAAAGCTTTTGTCGATTTAAAATATTTTACAATTCTAAAATATTTTTATGTGACTCGCAAAAATCTGCGTCAATATGTATGCATGTTCATATTTAAACATATGCACATATTTAAATGATTTGATTTGCAATGATTTGTAGGCAAAGCTGTTAGAGCGGCAAGGGAAGCGAGCGTTCGTTTATTTTGTCGCACATCGCGGAATTTCTACCAACAACACAACAACACAATGTGGTGATGCTTTGTCGTCGCGTCAGTCCTTTGACAGTTTGACTCTTTGAGATGAAAGCAAAAATGTGAGCTACGTTCATTGGTTGACCGTGTACATATCTACATATGTACATATGTATGTGGTTTTTAGACCAATTTACAAATATTTTTCTTTCATATTTCTTTGTATGTACACATGATATGAAAATGTCAACGGCAAAACACAATTTTGTACTTTTGTGACTCCATAATGATATCAAGTACATGAATTATTTTAAGAAATATATCAAAATATTTTTAAATTATTACTAATAACTCACAATAAATTAAAAATGAACTAGCATAAAATAATTAAAAAAAAAATAATAGTTCAATAAAAGGGAATACATTTCAAATGACATATCAATAACCCAGTTTACATACAACATATCATCCCAGCATACATATTGTATTATCTTCAATATTAATTTTACAAATGTTCGCTAACCTGCACCTTCTCGTTCTTCTAAGTTCTCTGGTATGGTCCTATGGGTAAGCCACGAGTACAGGCAAATTTACTCGAGTAATTTACGATTGATTTAAATCTTGTGAGGCATGCTCGAGTAAAAATATATGAACTTTGGGTATGAGCGCATGTTGAAAGATTTCGATACGTAAAAACTGTGTCAGTATATATTTGAAGCCGAAAAAACTTAACACATATTTGTAAAATACAATTAAAATTAATAACAAAGCATAAAACACATATTTTTCTTGTTCCATACATGTTATAAAAAATTAATTTATTTATACTTATTAAAAGTTAATTAACACACTTCGTAAAAATAATTTTCGATTCCCTTAATTTGTAATTTTTTTTAAATTAATATAAAAGAAAAAGTAAAAAGCAAAATTAAATGCAGTTTTTTTCTTCCATACATATATGTACATATGTATGTACAAATGAATAAATTGTGCATGCATTTACATGTACATGTGTACAGGAAGTACACCAGTAAATCACTGTGTCAGATATGATATACAACCCGAAAATTTTTGAACATTTCAATCATAAAAATATGAGTTTGATTTATTTTCGGTTATGGCCTGCAAAAGCAACATACATACCCTGGAAACCACCTAAGGATTAAATTATCGGTTAGTTACCCAACAGCGCTACCAGGGATTATTTGTTAAAGTTTTTCTGAGTTTTTTAAAGCGCAATTAACAATTCTAACCGTAACTTTTGTATTCAACCCTTTCTTACGCAAAGACTTTATGAGTTGAACGTTGTATACGTGATAGTTTCCGCGCTAACTCTTTCAATGTATTGGTGTTTCGGTAGCCGTGACTTGCTGGGTATATCCTATCAATATGTATAAATGTATTAATTGGAGTCAATAAATAAGATTGTTACGGGTCTATAAAAATGAGAAAATCCTGTATCGTTTTTAACGCAAATATTTCAAAAGCGCTTGATACCTACCATGGAGGTAGCCAACCCACCGAACATAAACATATGTATACAGGTGTAATAATTATTATTATATTAGTATGTAGGTTTGTAAACATGTTAGTAAATCATATTTTAATTATTGCTAAGAGTCCTATATACATACCTGCAGGGCTTACACCACTGATTCTGTTGATCTAAACCAAATCGAGCACGGCACTTTTTCATATTATTACCTAGATGTAGTATAAGTATTTTAAAAATAAATACAAAAATAGAAGAAATTAAATAAAAATTCATAAATGTTATGTATGTAACTTAAAGCACATGTATACTAAATGAGCTAAATTCTATTAAATTTTACCACTCATATATATAAGAACGCATTATTAGTATAAGCGCTTATGTGTAAAGTATACCATATACGAGTATACGATAAATAACAATAGACTATTGTACGCGCATATCGATATTAATAAGAGTAATATCGTTACAAAGAGATAAATAATAATTACAGCAATATTTTAAAGTATATTGCTTCATTAAAAATAAATAAAATCGTTAACAATGTTAGATTTAAGTATACACATACATACATACATACATACGTATACAAGTATTTAAAATGAAAATTAATTGTTACCAGAGGAACTAGCAAGATTTATTGCTGTATCTACGTACATACATAAATATACATAAATAATTTATTGCTACAAACATGCTACGAGTATCAATAAAAAGTATTAATATAAATCCTTAATATTATTTTATACTACATATTTTATCTATAGGGAATTAGCTGATAATATAAACAGAAATCTTTTATAACCATCTTCAGCCAAACTGCAATACCACCGATTCTGAAATGGTTTAATAATAAATTTTAGGGAGAGCATGATTTCCAATTAATGTGAGCTATAATATTAACTATAAAGTTAGTTATGCGCTTTCGGACAGACAAAACACAATTTTCTTATTATATAAAATAATTTTTATTTGTTCATTTCGGTATTATACCTAACCAAATTAGAATTTAGCTGAACTTTTAGCACTTTTAACGTTCTTCAGCTGTTCACAGTTCGATTCAATTTATTTTTATAGTTTAAAAATTAAAATCCAACGAAATCTAACAAATGGAAGAGTGGTCAAATTTTAATGAGCAACCCTTCGGGATTTACCAACATATTTTAAGATATTATTTAAACGCCTCTTTTAAATATTAAAGTAATTTGCATATGTATGTACATATTATTGTTTTTGATTATCAATTGTTTAATAGTAAATTGAAAGTGAAATTGATATTAATTTGCTAACCTCCACCACCAGCTTCGTTGGTGTCTTGCTTTCGCTTCCGTTTTTTCCCCCGTGACGTGTTCGTGCGGGAGCTCCAATCTGGATACATTTGCATATGTAATTGACGCTCCCGTCTAGCTAATTCATAATATTTGGCTTGCTCCTCACGCCCTAACGCGTGCCACTATTTATTTATGAGATATTTTTGTATTTGCATTGTATTATTATTAGTTTTTTTTTTGATTTTTTTGGTATTGCATATTTGAGAGTTCATGTAGAATGCAATTTATTTGTATACGGTTATGAGTAATTGTAGAAGCCATATAAAATAGGAATAAAGATAAAAGAATTGATGTGTTAATTAAAAAGCAAATCATAAAAGTTCTATAGACGTAATTTGCGTTATTTTTTGCTTTTGCTTTCTTTTTTATTTCATATTTAGAGTTTTTAAATTTAAATTTTAATTAATTGTTTTTTTTTTTAATTTTACAAGTGGCGGGAGGAATTCCCAAAAACTGAGTCTTATTATTGTATGCACTCACTGTACACTTTTAAGTTTTCTTTATGTTAGTTTAAGTATGCATCGCGTCAACGAAAAACAACCAAAAAAAATTAATTTCCATGATATTTTAAATTTTATGCTCAAAACTTCTTCACTGTGAAGAAAGCCATTTCGGACACTTAACGCACTGTAGCAGTGATATACATAAAACATTCCGCCACACACTTAGTAAGTAATATTATAAAATAGTTTACCCCAACTTCAAAAAATGTCTTCCTGTAATTGCTAAAGCGGTATAATTCTCTCCAGGGAACTATTTGGTTCCTGCATTGATGTACTGTAAAATTTTTTTGATTATGTCAAATAAAATCGCCGATTTTTGGTATCGTATTTATGGTAGATCTGCGCATTTAATGCGAATAAAGGGGAAACGATTTCAATCGTGTCAATGGATAAAGGCCCAACTCATCTTAAAACTTTACAAATGTATTATCACACAAGTTTTCAAAGTGGTTAACATACACTGGTATACGCTACGATAATTGCCGACGTTTCTACAGCATTAAGTGATCTTTGAATTCTACCTTCATACCTTATATTGCTTACTAGTACAAGGTACTAGTACAAGGTGCGTTCCAAAGTAAACAGTAACAAAGTAAACTCTAGTGGCGCCATCTATATGTCGACTAGTGCGTTAGAATCTGCTATCCTTTATCGACTTCCAGTAAAAATTTCACATTTCATCTATTGGAAGTGAAGTTATTGCGTTTTAAGTGTCAGTATGTTTTTGTCATCGGTGCGAAAATGAGCTTCGAACAAAGAGCCAACATTAAATTTTGTATTAAAATTGGTAAAACTTTTACCGAAACGTAAATTGATGAAACAAGTTTATGGCGATGATTGCCTATCCCGTAGCAGAGTGCACGAGTGATTTCAACGTTTTCAAAGTGGTCGTGAGGACATAAATGAGAAATGAGCAGAAACCCAAAAAATAAGCCTGGAGAAGTCAAAAGTGAAGACAATGCTGATTTGTTTTTATGATTCCAAGGGTATTGTCCACAAAGAATTTGTTCCACTCGGCCAAACGTTAATGCGGTATTCTACCTTGGAGTTTTGAAGCGTTTGGTGCGCCGTATTCGACGTTTTCGACGTTTTCGGCCCGAACATCGCGAAGATAGAAGTTGGCGTTTTTTGTACGATAATGCGCCGTCTCATCGATCGACGCTTGTGGCCGATTACTTGACCAAAAATCACATTTTAACAATCAACCACTCCCCGTATTCACCTGATATGGCACCGTGCGACTTCTACCTTTTCGGAAAAATGCATTTGCCGATGAAAGGAAAGCGTTATGCAGACGTGGAGGCCATTCAAAAGGCCTGCACCGGCATACTGGCGGCCATACCGGGAAACGAGCTAAAACACTCGTTCGACATGCTTTTGGACCGTGCAAAAAGCTGTATTAAAACAGAAGGAGACAATTTTGAATAAAATTAATTGATTTTGCCGATAAAACCATTTGTTCTGTGTTTTTTTTAAAAGTCCTGTTTACTTTGGAACGCACCTTGTATTTATGTACTCGCCTAAAAAAGCTAATTTTTTGATATTTGTGTGCGTCATTTGAATGCTAGCGAACAGATAGCTTTGAATAATGATGCCGATATTGGGCAATCATTCCTATCTTATCCATATTTCAATTCCTACCTTCGGTCTTTCTCAGTTCCTATGCTTCATACTTACTAACTTTTAACTAAGTTCAAACATACTAAAACAAAAGCAAAACAATACTTAATCTAAAATACCTGAGTATCGGAAGCTATTTTCGAAGCGTATTATTCAAAAATGTTGTATATGTATTCCTAGGTCTTCTGCTACACCCTAAGACATTTTTTCTTGACACCTTGCTAAAATTTAACTAATTTTTTTGTTTTGTTCGCCTTATAATACTTTGTAGTACCTAGAAGTTGCTATAACTAAGCCAAAAATTAAGGTACAAAACTGTAATTTGGTACAGTAGTAAAAGTTTTGAAAAATTTAACGAGGCCCAGCCTTAATTGGTTTAAAGTACATATCTTATAACTTGCTGAGAAGAATTCTTTCTAGCATATATTGATACTATATGAAAATGGATAAAATCCAATAATAGCCGCGAACACTAAAGTGAAATGCCTAAATTCAGTAAATAAACGCTCCAAAATTATTAAATTCCACACACGAGATGGTACAGAAGAACTCCACCGGGCTCGTTTAAAGAATTTGGCAACGGGCAAGACACCGCTTGGTGAAATTTAAGATATCATCAACTACTGTACCAATACCAACCAAATTTGGTGCATATAATTGACCTAAAAGTCTTATGTTACGATGTTCAAACGGGCGAAATCAGACTCGAATCACGCCTACTTCCTATATAATGCAATTTTAAATTCCATCTGATTCCTCTAATTTACAGTATATAAATTAGGCACAAATGAAGACATCGGACAAAACACGCATAGTGCCTTCAAGGTGTTCCATTTTGTACCTTAAAATGATTGAAATCGAACCAAAAATGTATATATACCATATTATGTATAGACTTTATACTGAAAATATCGGTTAATCTTTGAGATATAATATTACAATTAAATTCTTAACCACTAGCTGAATTTGAACGAAATAGGACTAAACCTTAACCCCACAGATAACGGTATTCACACCTCCAGTTATTTTTATATACCATATACATAAATATATTTTGAATTTTGTCCTTTGGTTGAGTTTATACCTCATACATCTCACTCGAAGATATTTTAATTAAATGAAGTAGGAATATATTAATTAGCATTATTCCATAGAGCAATAAAAGTTGTCATAACGGTATGCCCTTCACACAACACTAATATGATGAATAGAGAGATTTGTGTTAGATTAGATAGACTAATTTTAATATAAATATACCGGACTAAATAATTTTGTGAACTATAGTTTAATGTAAATCGTAGTTCATCAAATAATAAGTATTGAACTCCCTCGCAACGTTTTTTAATATAAAGTTTTGCCAATACTGAAAATTGCTCCTGACTTTGATCTTTGAAAATTGTGAGAGTGTAAATTTTCGGTTAAACGCGAGTTCAGCTCTTCCCTACTTGTTAAAGACATTTCGTGTTACAAGTCCATTGTCGTGAGCGCTTCTCAAGCACCGCTTAACTTTTCCTTGTATAAATATACAGCGTCTTACGTTAACCCGAAATAGCTGATTGGCAAATTATAAATTTTTTAACCACATATGTATGAGTATGCAAATAAAAAAAATGGTTCTTTGGTATAAAAGTTCTTGAACGCAAGAAAACAATTCTCTAGCATAGTGTATATGTTTGTTTTTGAACCACTTTTTATTGCTTCTATTGCTGTGAACATTTGCACCCTTTTAAAATGCATATCGGTAGCGGATCCAAAATTTCTTTCTGGAGGGAGGGTTTTACTTCCAACATATTTTTAATATTGATGTTACTTTGAATTCTTCTGAATTTTAATGAAAATATCCGATTTAGTGGGTTTTGACAACTAGTGTCCCCCCGTGGATCCGCCACTGGTGCATTTATTATATTAATGTCAGTGTTTAATGGTAAAGTTTCGACTGTTTAAAAATACATGCAAAATTGTTAATAAGCTAAATAAATATTTGAAAACAAATATAGGTTAATATACTAATGTTAATTTTGGTACATTAATTTAGCTGGAACAAATATTTTCTACCAATTCAAAGCAAATATTCATTGTGACAAAATTAGCTATTGTAAGTAATCAAATGAATTGCTCCATCAAAGTAAATAAATAACAAAATAAAGTCAGCTACTTAAATATAAACTACTTCAATACTTATATTAGCGTGTTTAAAAAAACTTTTTTCAATTTTTTTCAACTCTAACCATCTCAAATATTTCTATTTGATTTAAAAAAAATTCTCACTAAACATGAACTCTATTGCTCACCATATTTTTAATATTGCTTTTACTTCGTAAATTCTTCTGAATTTAAATTAAAATTTTCTATTGGGTCGGCTGGTTTTGACACCCAGGCAAAATTCTTTCTGTATTAAATTAATTTTCTTTAAATTAACACAACTTGTACAAAGAATTTAATATATTCCTAAAGCTGAGTCTTTGATCTTTATTAAACCCTAAGACTTAGTATGATTATGTTAACAATAAGAGTTGCTCAAATAGATATTTATAAAATATACATAGGTATGTATGTAAAAAATTTATAAAGGTAGCAATTTTAGTTGCTGGCTATTTATAAATTAAGAAATCGAAAATCAGAAAAATTATTCACCTGAAAAAGTGATCATTACTTACACCAGGAATACTAATCACCGGCATATTTTGTCAAACAGAAAGAGTAACACTGAAATTTCTGTGGAATGCAACACGACTTATTTGTTTCAGAAAATAAAATGACATTTGAGCCAATGAAGTTGCAAGCCACGCATGAGCGTACTGTCATTGAAAAAGATTATAGTTAGATATCAGCATCCGCTACGGGCGACAGGAAAATTCAATTATTTCCCAACTGTCTCCGTCAGATATAACATACCGTTATACTACAGCATATGGCAGCTTTAGGCCACAGTGGTATTTTCGCACTTTGATGTTAGCATATCGCAATTACTTGTGATGGCGCCAGAGCGTATACGTAAG